CTTCCCCGGGCTTGAGAAATCAATCCCTTTTTTTTAAATGAGTTGAATTGTTGTTACGATGCGGCACGGCCAATTTCTAATCTTACCAATTCGTTGACTATTTCTCTCAGTAGGAGGGGTACTTGAGCCACTGAAAAACCAAGACATTGGAATGGGGCTTGTAGGCAACATCAGGCGTGTTGAATGCGAGTTATGGCCTGTGCCGGAATGGGAAGGGCTTGGTTGGCTCGGGCGACTCACGACCCAGGATTTGATCCCCAGACCACTCGCGTGATGAGCGTGCCACTTGCCACTACACCAATTCCGCCCTTTCTCCGAGATGACTCCAAAAAATCACTGGGCTCTATTTTTGATGGGATTCGATTCTGTAGAGTTGTTCTTTCAATCGTTAGTGCGCTTTTGCTACTTAGCTGTATCTTACTTAGAAACTAAATAAAACCGGTCATTTCGAAGTGTCTAATTCCGAAATCCTGGAGGGTAAGGGGCAACGGTGAAGTATAGAAAAATCCATCGTTTTCTTGTTGACCAAGCCCCACTCTGAGATCTGTACTCTTGTGACTCGTAGAGCAATATGTCCTCCTAAAGCTATTCAGTCTGCACAGCAAGGTAAGACAACGTCGCGAATTTTTTTATGCGGGAGGAGGTTGTACTGACTGGCAAATTGCCGAGATCCAAGGCCTTCACAGCGCTTGCGGGTTCAGCTGATACGCAAGCCACTGCTGTCATTTCCCAAATGAGTCTGGTACGAATTGATCGGCACTGAAAACGTGGAAAAATGTATGCTGAGGTTGCTTGGTCAGAGTTGATTCTCATACTATGTATTGTGTAGTGACGCTACTTGCCAATTCCCCACGTTCACCCTTAATACGAGGATATTACCTTGAAATATCTCAACCTTTTTAATAGAGTACTGGTTCGATTGCTATAATTTTACGTCAGATATTGTGCCTGACTCTATACGTCTTTTTCGTACTGGCTGAAACCAGTTGAGGGTAGGAATTAGAGGGGAAAATATATGATCTGGTTCAGCGTGTTAGTTTTCCTCCATATACGGTATGTAGGCTCATGATTCACATTTCCCCAACATCATTAAAAAGCACGGTGTGCTGTGTTGGGGTAGTTGTAACATTCCTTCACTTGAATGGCATTAAACTGGTGTTTACATGCACGGTTTGAATTGTGCGCATTGTTTACATTCCTTTACACAATAACGAATTCACACTTCACAGCTCTTGAAGAGGGAGCATGCTTGCAGTGCTGCAATCCCACCGGTGTAAGGTGTATTAGGATCTCAGAAAGAGGTACATCGGATTGAATGCGAGAGTGAAAATAATTGATACGCAAAATGTAAAATTCGTGCCTCTGTAGTACTGCATTTAGCTGTTTGAAGCCGCTTTTCTAGACACTGTAAGCAAGTACATTTCCCGCAACGAGAGGAGTCCTAGTTATCGAAACTGCTGACGCGAGGAACATCGCTGAAGTATGCCTTATATTAAATGTAAAGCATCTATTTGAAAATATGTGCATAATCTGTTTGTAGTTCCGACGGCGAAAAAAGCTCTCTTCGGAAATCGCTTACAAGCATTAAGTGAGGGTGTTTACTTACCTAAAATGGCGACTTTACCGTAAATACTCAGAACCTTTAAAACTTTCGTGGTGGTAAGCAACTCATAGTTGGATCCTGGAGAGCACGGTACCAAAAGAGAAATCACACATTGTGCGCCAAGGTGGGGAATGTATCCAAGGTAGGGGAATGCAACCCAACTTGGATACATCCCCACCTTGGGGTCATTGGGGGGGGGAGTATCGTTTAATTTGACTTTATTTGTTGACATCTTAGACAATTTTTCTGTAGTTATATTTAGCCGTGTGGATCGTTGCGATGGTTTTTATATAGTGCTCGATTTAGAAGACAATTTTATGCCGTAATACATCTTGAGCCTTTGTCATTCCACTGCAGTTCTTAAACGGATTGCTAGTCACTTCAAAATGTTGCTGGTGAAAATTTAAAATGCATTGTGAATTCGACTTTAGTTCTGATTGGCCGCTCGCAATAGGCAGTTCCACAGATTGTTTGGGGTACTTTTAATCTCCATACAAGTATATTAAAATGACCAAGTTTGAAAAATATAGAGATAGTGCCAGACGAGCTAAGTAACAGGAGTAGTTATTTCTTATCGATTGGTGGTTTAATTTTTACGATTAGAAAATATTGACTCTTCCATTCAAAGTTCAAAGGAAGGTTAGCCTGTAAAAAGTTAGAAAATCATTGGTGATGAGGATTAGAATCAAATAGGAAAGTAGCAGAGAGCTTACGGACACATCCCTCTTCTATTTTGCATTGTATTTGTTACGCTTCCATTACTGCTGGAATGGTTGCAGTTTCTTTTTTTTCTTACATTTGTCTCACGCTCCGTAATAAACATATACATATTCTCTCAATACATCAAGGATTAAAGGAAATTAACAAAAAGGGGTTTGAGGAGCGGCGAATCGTTCTTTTCGTCCGGTGTTACTTTTGCCAATCATGTTCGTAGTATGCAAACCACATGGGAGATGTGTCTTGGTTTTGATGGCCTCAATCAAGGGCCAGCGCGATCGAGTTATCGCATTAGCCTATGTCAACAACGTGAGGCCTTTGCGAGGGAAGATTCCGAGGGTAACCCGTTCCAGTTTCGAGGACAGAGACGTGTGCCATATTCCATGTCACTTACATTTCCATAATCTTTTTCTATTGGCCTTTTCAACTGACCTAGTGACATAGAACTTTTCCATGCTCTCCAAATTCGAACCGGCTCGACGTATGTTGAACCATTCATTTAGACTTTCAGCAGTGAAAATAGGGATCTGTTTGAGCTTCTAATACATTCAAAATTGGGAGGTATCAATTTCCGAAGTACCACTCGTCCTAGGGCGTGTAGGTCATTACATCCGCTTCCTAATGGCTTTTTTTCGAAGGTGCGCCTCCCCTGCTCACGGCGCGAGGGCCACCTGCGGATCAGAGCCAGGCCTAGGCCACCGAAGTCGGGCCATTCCTGCTGTGTCTGCAAAACGGTAACGATTTCATGTAGCAGGTTAAAAATATCGCCCTGTACATCGGCTTTTCCTCGGACGTATAGTATAGGCCGTATCGATTTCAGTTGTCAACACGGTTCTGGACAGAGTAGAATGCGTGACTCATTCTGCAAAGGGTTTGATCAACACCAAAAGCTTCATCCTTCCATTATTAGACATGCACGCAATGTTTTTTATCCACCTGTATTGTTGGGATAAGGTGAGAGTAAAAATTGTGTGTACAGAGACCACCTCGGTGAGATCGAGTTCCATCCAGTAAGGCTTACGAAAATTTATGTGACAAGATTTGCAGTTTTTGGTCGAGCTAGTTGTGCTGTTCTTAATTAAAACGTGTAAGCTAGTTATCCGTGTGAGCACGTTGTTTGCCAAACTAGTCAGCACAATTCCTATTCAAGCTGCTGAAAGTAGGGCTGAAGAACGCACGGTAGACATCAATCTCAACATCAATTTCGTTAAAGGAATCTTCCACGGAAAAAGCTCCGCCCTCATTACCACAGAAAACGATACCTTAAAGGAATCTTCCACGGAAAGAGTGATCATTTTGTCTTGTGTGTAGGATTAGTATTATCGAAACTAACGCTTATGTTCCGTTCTTTTTGCTATGCTCATGAGGCTAGGGGCCTAAGGGGTATCGTTTTTCTGGTAATGGAGGCGGAGCTTTTTCCGCGGAAGATTCCTTTAAACATCTTTTTCGAGATATTCTGGTTTTGTCAAGAATCAATAGTTCGCTTTCTGTTAAACAGTGTAAATACTGTGCTGCAGCTACATAACATTCCCCAACACATTTCATATCGGACAGGGGAAAAATTGAAGGAGTGGATAGATTTTGCTTCTTCAGGCTTATCGTGTTTTTGCCTATGGGTTTCGATAATGTAACACTCGTGGATCAATTTTGTGGAAATTTTTGCTGATCTGCTTTCTCTGTGCTGAACCGAACACTTATTTTATCCATTGTATATCATTTCGTCATCAATGTTATCAAATTTTAGTGTTTCGTTCTTCTAGGGCTGTTCACGCCCATTGCTAAGTGTAGAAAAAGTGTGTGAAATCGCGCTATTTCGGTCGGAGTTACTAATGGTGCATATGCTTGTTCGTGCTCAATCTCACTTTTTGATTGTCGGGTTGATTCCACTAAATACTAATACATTTCTTTTAACATCCTAAGAACGGACTAAGATTTTGTGTGCGAGCGCCTGAAACGTCCGCTTTGAGAGAGGTTAGAAGATAAGAAACATGTTGCAGTGTTTATGGAACACCTCGTAGTTCGACTTGTATTTGCTTTTGGTCTGTGATTCTCTGAACTGCTCACACCTGCTCACTCTCCATTGTAGTGATCACAGTGGACAAATACTGGAAACTTTCATGTAAACTGTTAGTTATCGGTCTGTGAAGTTGATCCACCACGAACTCAGCGAGTGTTTCTTTGTGGTGAACATTATGGTTTTCTATTCTCGCTGGCGGTTTTCATAGAAATTGTTTGTATTTTACGATGTAATTCCCGTGGGATTAGTGAAAAATCAGCCTGGAGAGGGAGCTCATCGAGGCTTTGTAAAATTTGTCGACATATTTTTAGCGCCTCTACTTGCAACTGTATCTTGTGAGCAAGAAATGCTTTCAAGTAATTTATAGCGCGGCGAAATCCTGTACCGTACAGTTCGGCTGCGCCCTTTTGTCAAGTTTAATTGGAAGGGATAGCGCGTGCCAAAAATGAATGATGTTGAATCATTTATAAGACCTTTAGTGAGGAACCGTTTCTGCGAAGTAACCTTTCTAGTGCGGAAGACAACCACTGAAGGAAGCTATAGCTGAAATAATGGATTGGGAACACTTCTGGTTATAGAGCTAATATGTATCTAGTCAAAAGTTACATATGTTTAGGGCAAAGTGATAAAAGATCAAATTGTTGATGTTTCAGTGAGTCGTCTATGGCTGTTGCAGCAGCCGAGGTGATGATCTACAATGAAAACCGCAAGAAATGGCAAGCTCCGGATGGTGCTGAAGGGCAGATCTCGAGCATCCAAGTTCTGCACAATGCTGTGCGGCAAACGTTCAGAATTATCGCGATTAGGGAACAGGTTTGTTGACATTATATCGTCCTGTATTATATTTCGTATTTCGGGTCGATGCATTTTTAAAGTGAACCCGATCTTCATAAATTGTCCTCATGGATTTCATTTATGTGCTGACTTTTGAGTTTTCCTGTCAGCCCTTTTGTCGTCCACATCGTAGTACTGTTGAGATATTTCTCCTTTTTCAACGGTTCATGAACCCCATGATGCTAGATGTAAATTTCTGTGGGAGAGCTATTTCATGGTGGACTCTATTTATGATTTGTGACCCTATCGGTTTATGACAGACTTGCTGATAACTGATTTCACCATAATTTGTTGGTGAACTTGGCTGAATGATGAGTGTAAGGTGTCTCTGTAGCTTTGTTTAACGGTTTCATGCTAACAGTGCATGTGTGATCTGGATAGTTAAACGGGTAACTTCGGAGGAGGTTCTATATTCTCCTTTTGATTCAGTTTGTTTTGAGCGCTCCATTCCTCTGTTACAGTCCTAGTGTTTAGGATGGTGCTTGGGTTATAAACTGCAATATTCATCATAAACTCAAGTATCATACTGCCACGCCAACGTTCCATCAGTGGCGGGACGAGCAGCGACAGGTACGTTAATTATTTTCCATGATTGACTTCAAATTGGCTGAGGGAAGATGCTGAATGGACTCTAACCTTTCAATAATGTAAGGATGTTTTATATGTGTTGGTCGGAAAATGATCTTTAGGTGTACGGTTTGAACTTTTCATCAGAAAAAGAAGCCCGAGACTTTGTCTCAGCGGTTGGTCAAGCGATTGACTACCTTAACCATCAGTTTGTTCACGGAGGAGAGTACCAGGTCCCAAATGGTATGCTTTTTTCTTTTCTACAATTTTTTTCTGGTTTAGTTTTTCTGCGTATTATGACAGAAACAATTGTGGTATCCAATAGAATTGAACAATTCAATGCACGAGTCGGGAAAGTCTATGTTCAGTTTACATTTGTTCAATTCATTAGTCTAAAAGGCACCGTTCACCTTTTACTGCCCACTCTTCAAAAGCTGAGCCGGATCTCAATCGAAATTTGCCCTCGACAAAAATTTGGTAATGGTATTTGGACGCGTAGACCAACAATATCACAAGCTTCAACGCGAAAATGTCTGGCGCCCACGCCACATCGCTGGCGCTATCGCAGTGGTTTTGCATCGGCCCCCGTGACGCAGGCTAGAAGCTCCCTTGCAAATGACTGTGACATCTTACTCTGCGTGTCAAACTACTGGAAACAGGTCCAGCGAGTTTGGTGATCTAAGGTGTACTGGTGCTCTTGGGCGCCGACACTTGTGGCGCGGGCGCCAGAAGTTCTCGCGCTAAACGAGTGCGATATTCGTGTTCTACGGGTCGATTACCGCCGAAGGCAAGTTTCTAGCCAAATCCGAATTTATGAACAATTTCGATAAAAATCCGGCTCAATTTCCAGGGGTGGGGCAGTAAAGGGCAAATAGTGTCGTCTGACGCATTACTTGTTCTCCTCTTCTTTGAGTTCATTCTTTCGCAAATACCGTTCTTCTCTTTGAAAACAATTTCTTTCATTTTTTCTTGCGATTTCATCAAGTGGCTGGTTTTGCTCGGCGCTGGTTAAGTGTTCCTAGCACAAAGCTTCTTTGGTTGCTGGCGTGTTTTTTTTTTCGCATGAACTAGCTAGGCGCATTTACTTCAAACGAGTGGAAATGATACTCATGAAAATGCGAAAAAAAAGAGTGTCTGAATTGAAGCTAGTTTAGTAGTTTTTGACTATTAGTAAGAAAAATTTTAAGAGTCAGGGCGGTTTAAAGAGTAGTTGTGAAAGGAAAGGCGGTAATAAAAAGGTCGATAAGTGGGGTTTGTAGTTAGGGTGTGGGATATCGCTGTCAGCGAGAACAAAAAATGGTTTAGCGATGTTAGCGCAAGAGACAGGCAAAAGGAGTTGACTCATTAACACGTGCACATTTACTTAAATAGCAAAAGAAGGATGTTACAGAAGCGCCAGCTGTTGACGGCGCATAAAAGGGGGACTGTCGTTAACAAGTCGCTTTTCTCAGCTTTCTGCTTTCTCCTTGCTTCGGTCCTCTACATATCTTAATTCTTCGTTCATTGCATTTATTTTGTAGTCCAGTCATTGAGTTGTGCTTGAATTGAAGATTGTTGATAGCAATAAAAATAGCTTGGGAAGGAGTCCCGTTCAATACGCGTGGCAGGAGAGGAGAAGCAAATTTATGGGATTCTACTTTTTCTGCCATTCGGCTCAAATCTTTTACTTTTGTTCTCGAGATCTTTAATTTTAAATATTTTTTCGTGCTAGACATAATAAGTAATTAAGTAATTTTAGTGTGATTCCATTTGATTCATAGAATAAACCTATTTTGACGTACGAATGCACTGAATAGCACTATGGACGGAATCTTATTACCACTCGTTGGTTGCCCTTGTTAATCACTGAATCTCTCAACTTCTTCATGACTTCATCTTTACGACGTCTGCTCTGCTTTTAGTTCCTTTTACACCTGGTTTTAAAGATAGTATGCTGGGCATCAGTACCAAGAAAAAATATTCAGAAAAAAGGGCTTCCAATGGTTGTGAATAAGCAAAGGACCTTGGCTTATACGAATAAGTTCTTTTCAGTGCGAGAAGAGCTCATGATAAAAATTTTCGGAGTAAAAGTGCTAGCCCAGAAAGGGAAGAACATGACTATAGAAACATGAAAATCCTTGTTAAAGAGAAAAATTGTAATCCAGAAACGAATGGTCAGAGAAATTGGTGTACATGGGCTTTTCTGCTGCTCAAAACACTTAGTTTGTTCACTCTTTATGACGTTTAATCAATGGTGCGAAATGACAGTAGTAGCACTGAATGAAGTTCAAAAGAACAAATAAAACCTCTTCATAGCGTCTACAATTAGCATGACTCACTAGAATAGCTGTACTTGATCTTTTTCGAACACATGCCCTCCTTGATAATCAATCTAGCTAGTGCTGGAAGGCTTTTTTCGTGAACAGGCGGTCAGCTTCAAAATAATAGATGGCGGCGGTATACACTTTATCGAGAAATCACTTACAAAACTTTATAACATTTTTCCTCTGCGTTAGGAAGCATCCAAGTCAGAAGCGTAAGTCTGCCGATCAGAATTTCTTTCTACTTCTTGCTTAGCTTCAGTGGATTTCGATGGAAACATCTTGGTTGTATATGTGTGTTTATTTTATTGCCTGCATAGAACGGTGTTAGATAATGCTCTAAAAGCCTCGGAAATGAACTGGCTTTCAACGCACTGCACGCTGCATCCAGTTTTTAAGGTTTTTTTTACGATGGAGCAAAAATTCTTGTGATTGTGGAGGTTTCATAGCTTCATGATGTTGTGGTTCAAGAATCGTAATTGTTCTAGATATTATACACTTCCACGTTTACGTTCTGAATGGGTTTACTAGATGCCATAGCATTACGCACGTATAGAATTCGGGACAGAGCTCACTATTGCAAGGTTTTGAAATTTCCACGTAATAAATGATTCACTCGTAACGTTTCATGGAAGCATTTTTCGCTACAGGAGCCGCGCACACTTCGTGTAATGTGGTCCAAGCCGCAGTATTACTATGCATGAAGTTTGGTTAACGTGCACGGTAACACTGTGAGACCATGCTTTTTTTACCAGAGTGACTCAATATGAGCTAAATAGAGTTTGTGATTTTGCAAAAACACAGTTGAGTTGGATGCATTTCATCGATTAAGGATGATTTCTCGCAAATATTGCCAATTTCATCCTCATAGCGTCCTAGCGTTTTCTTCTACCTTATTCTTGACGCGTAGCTTATTTTTCAAATTAGTTACTTATTTTCATGTAGTTATCACTGCTTTTGTGACCATTTTGTTCAGCACGCTACCGCGCTCAATGAGTAGTGGTGTCAGTGAAGCTGGGCAAGCAGTAGAAATTAAGATTATACGATTACGTATCCAGTAGTAAGATGATTGTGGAATGCCTCAGCTGATGGCTGGGTTTACAGTTCTGCATAGCTGCCACCGTACAATGCGCATGGGAGCGCGCTGGGCCAACCTAGTGTATGATGGTGTGTTACCTGGCAACTCGGTACACATTTTACTCTTTTTTCTGATCTCTGGGATTTTCTGCATTGGACAACTTGTCGCCGACCATCGCCAACCGAATACATGCGGATGTCGTGGTTGTCGGGATTTTTCTCCCAAACATGGCCCGCCCTTTCCAGGAGATTTTCAAGCAACATTCACAAACTTATGGGAGTCACTTACGAACTTGTGGTGGTGGCAGACTAACAAACTCTGGTCTATATATAGCGTATGATAGACTGTCAACAATGCAACACATTTAGCAGCAAAGGTTGGGAGATTTTCCCTAGAGGGCATCACGGGGTGAAAGTGGAGCGCTGCGTGGTATGAATCGAATATTCTTCGTTCATATATGCCTTCAATATTTTCCTATGCAGTACCGTTAGAAGAGATCTACTTTCAAAGATTGATCTGTAATGGACGCGGATAGGCCTCACGCACATTGGTGTCAATACGCGCACGGGTGCAGATTGTTGAAAAAAAAACCGTGTTATGTGGAATTATGGACAACTTTAGCACGCGTATGACGGGGAAATTGCGATAGCCAGGTGTCAGGGTTTTGGAGTAGGCTCCACATTCGTGCGAAATTGACTAGTTAGTGGTTGCTGCCATCATCTGAGGAATTGGACTGCATTGTTGTTGAATGATTCAGCTATTGAATCTGGGATTGTTACGATCTTTATATATATTGAATTGTTTCTTCGCTATTCCTTCGTTGCATATCATTTTTTCAAGTGGTTAATTATGTTTGAGTGGGCATATTGATTCTGATGAGCACTAAGATTTATTGCTTGTCTATAAATGCTGGTTCGGAAGGTGGTATCAAGCTTTTTAACATGCCCTTGCAGCTCAGCAAAAACATACAAATCTATCCATTAAGCTAGCCGCCTCATTGGCTTTTTGCTTTCTTTAGCGAGTCGTTCAATTTTTTTTTCGAAACCTCTTTCTGAACATTTTTCTTCATGATCACCGATTAGCGTTCTAGGCTAAATAGAGGATCAACTAGAAGATAAGGCCACACTCCCTCATTTCCACGGGGCACCGATGGTTCATACTGCTTGAGTGAATTTTTTTGATATGAAAATGATCCACACTCCAACCACCGCGTGATTGGATCTCGTTGCTCCGGACCAATGCTAAGATATCTTCATAAGGCTTTGAAGATCTGCAAATATAAAGTTTGTGTCTTACATGCTCTGAGCTCGAATCAGTTCCAAAAGCGCTCTGACGTTATCGTTCCTGTTGGTTTCCTCTGGTTTATTCGATTGACCATCCGACACATTCACTAGTGGCGTGGACTTGGAGGGTTCTCACAAATCCTACAAGCTGCAGTGGCTTAGCTTAAACGATAAGAGTTCTGGGAGTTTGGCAGCAACAGCCCAACTTCCTACAAGTTCGATCCTTCTGAGCCGTTGACAGAAGGAACTTTGCGCTGCAAATACCCGCTAATGCTAGAGTCATTGATGAAGACAAAAGTCAACAGCTTAATGGCGACGTCTCTAAATTGGAGGCGAAGTAGGAAAAAGTGTGCTCAGGTCGTCGTTTCCACCTTGCGAGTAAAAATCACGAAAAATTGGAGATTTTCGGGTCGCAAGTTCTTTCAGATCTGCTATCTAGTGCTAATCTCGTGCCAACGAGTGATCCCTGCTTCTCTTACTAGTTCACCTTCTGGAGAAGAAGTTTTCCTCGAATTACTATTGCGCCGAAATTGCAATCCAATTTTTCTCCTACCAGATCAAATGGAATTCTCCAAGATAGGCAATGAACACCTCTTCCGTTGAGGATGTGCTGCATAATGGTGGCGTATGCGAAATCGGGTGACCATATCACA